ACATGTGGACCCTGAATGGCATATTGGGAATGCAGGTGGATCATGAATGACACATCAGATATTTTGACATATTTAGCAGGTTTTGACACCATCTCTTTAAATGCTTTCAAGTTTTTTAATGTATGAGGTATCCCATAATGGCAATTCTCCAATCTTCAACAAAGCGCTAAAACCCATACCTTTGCTCCAAGGCATTTCATTGTATCAGGTATTTTGAGCAAGACAGGGAAAGCACTTGAAATTCCATTAAAGTTACATTCATTTATCTAAAAATTAAAAAAAGCCTTCTTTGGAAGTTTGTCTCTACAGATAGCATTAAAATGGATGTATATATAATACACATTTTTTGTAACTGAAGATTAACGGTTAACTCTTCAGGTACAGATTTCATATGGTAGGAGTTAAAGCTTAGTACAAAAGTAAGAAAATATAACAACTAATATTGATCGTCTTTTGTAGACAAGATGAGCTCTCACTGTTAAGTTGGCCTCAGGTTCCTAGGCTCAAGTGATCCTCCCAGGCTCCTGAATAGCTGGGACTATAGGTGCAAGCCACCACACCCAGTTCTCTTAGTATAAAATTCATACTTTCAAAATGTCAGCTTCAGTGCTTCTCAGAATACCAGTGTTATCCATTTTAAAAAACACATCCAAATAGCCAATCTTAACATAAGAAGACTGCTCGAAAGTCTGCTATTTCTAGTATTTGAAGATATAAGTCTCCTTGGATCATTGTCATCGCTTTATTCAAAATGAAATCCGACATGGAGCATTTATATTTGCCTTATACAAACTAACTGAATAAGAAGCTTTAAGAACAAATAAATATATTTTGATGCCTTGTCAATAACATCAAGGGTACTTTCACTAACCTTCCTAAATGAAAAAATAATCATCATAGTGATGTTGCTGGTTTTATTTAAAAATCAGTAAAAACACAGGGTTGCCAGATTTACCAAATAAAAGCAAAGGGTAAAGTTAAATTTCAGAGAAAAAGCAATAAAGGTTTTAGCATATCTATACAATATTTGGGGTGCATACTTATTCTAAAAGAAAAAGCAGCTCATGCCTTGTTGCTCTGAGCTTTAGCTGCAAGTGAGCGTGCCGCATTTTATCTGGCAGCCATTGGCAGTGGAGTGGCCACACCATAGTTTGCTACGCGAAGCATGTAAAGCTGCGTCTTCTTCCCAGGGTCAAGAACAAGTGTGGAGACTCTTAGCTCCTTCCATCTGGCAAATTTAAAACTTTGGCACATCAACAAGACCAATAAGGCTTCTTTTATAGCAGTGGAATACATTTCCAGTTAGTCATTCTGCATTCTTAACTGGAGAAAGAGCTCTTTCCCACTCCAGGAGAAGGTGAGAGCTGGCAGGAGAAAAGCCCAGGTCAAGCAGGAAAGGAGAAGATCTCACCAAGAAGTGACAGAATTGGGAATAAACAAGGCTGAAGCAAGCCTTTCTGAAACAAAACAACAGAATTTTAGAATAATCAGATCCCTAAAAAGACACTACAATTTGTCAAAAATGAAATAAATTTAGGAAAAAATGAAAAACAGGAAAAGATAAAGAAAATTTATAGTTCTTTTCTTGCAAAGCCCTTTTTTAAAAAAAATCTTGCTTGCTAGGATATTAAGCATTTTGGGAGATTTGGTAATATGTCATACTTGTCTTTCTGAAGTTTTATTGTATAGTGGTGGGTTTAATGAACAGCTATTGGTAAACACTAGGGTTTTTTTTTTCCTTATTTGACTAACTTATGCCTACTTCTCGTCTGACTGTGTGACAAGCTGCTAGACTTTTTTGTCTTTGGTTCCAATCCTATGAACTCTCACCTGGGATGCTACTGACCAGGGCAAATGTTCTGCTTGCTGCCTTTGACTTCCTATATTGGCATTTTCCAGGGTGCTGGGAAGCCTAGTGGCCTGGGCAGATTTCTGACTCCCAGCATCCTCTCCTGCCTGAGACTCTGCATTTCCACATGACTGTAAGTCTAGTGAGTACAAAAACCATAGGCTCAGGGGCTTTGTTTGTTTGGATAGAGGAAGTACAAACAGTGGATTTCTTTTTTGTTTAGAATCAGGTTGTAGTTTTGTTTTGTTTCTTTAACTAAAGAAAGCAAAGGAAAAGGGAGGGATATCACAGAAAACTTAGTTATTCAAAAAGAACTAGGAGTCTTATTACTATTATGATAATAACCAGGACAATCAAGAATATCGCATTCTGTGCACTGAAATCTCTCTTAACAGATAGGTAATATCCTTGAGAGCTGTTGAAAAACCATTACAAGCAAGAACAAAATAATTTAAGGTAAAGGGGAAAATTTATCAAAATTGAGGAAAAGAAGACAAAGAAAATGAACTCGCAATTCAAACAAGGATGTGAAAGAAAATAATATTTTCGGCCTAAGTTTCTCAAGACTTAACTTTTGACTTTTATGAACAAAAGCATATTGTTGCCTTGCTGTGTTATAAATATAGTAGTTGGCTTATAGCAGTTTTGAACCAGACAATAATTTTGATTGTTTTTAGTAAGGACTTTCAGAATTCTGATGGCCTATCTTAGTAGAAAATGGATTCATTTGGTATGATTCATCAGGAGGAGGAACATAGTACTTAGTAGAAAAGGAAAAGGGAAATTTCAGTATATAAAACTGTAGAATTGATGTAGGGTATAAGTGTGAAAACACTTGGACTGCAAAATTAAGAAAAGAGCAAAATATTTAGTTCTTTTACAGCTCAATACATCTTTCAAGAGATAATCTACAGATATTTTCAGGAACTAAGTTTTAAATGATACCCTCTCAAATGCTAGGTTTTTCTATAGTGCCTTAACAGTGAGAGTAAGGACTCAGGATCACCCTTAAACACCCCAACTTCAGCTCCAGCCCAAGAAGATATGCTCTGCTTGAGTATTACTCTTCAAAAAGGAGGGAGTAGTAGGCAGTGGTTGCTGAGTTGAGTTTCATGGATTTACTTAAATTCAATACCCTGGAGTTCAGGCTGATTTCTTAACTTGTCCATGCTAAAAGTCTTCATTTATATTAACACAATGAGAACACTACTGGTCACTTACTTTTCAATTAGTTATGAGAGGTGAAGGAGTTAACAGACATAAATTAGAACAGTTCCATATCTGGTAGTAAATGTTAGCTATTTTAATCTTTTGTGTACTTGGGATGGGTGCAAGGTTTTATTTGAAGGAAAAATTTTACTTACTGCCTTTAAAAAGTTTTTTTTGAAAAGACTACTTACTGCTCCAAAACATTATTTCATAATTTAGACACATGGGTTGTTTGTCCTTTGGTCCTATGACCAAAAGCCAAATCCCTCTCACTTTTCCCTATTAGCCCGGAAGTCCAGGCAGTAACTCCTCCTCCTTCGCCCAGTCCTGAGTGTGTGCTCTGGCCTAATGGTGAGGATGATGTCATTACAGTTGAAGAAATTATTTCACTATAATCTTTTTTTCTTTACTTTGTAAAAGAAAAAAAAATTATTAACTGAGCACTCAGAATACTTTGGAGTATTCCACATATAAGCTATCACTCTCACCCACATTTGGTGAAGCACTTGGAGATGAAAAGTGTTATGTAAATGTTTATGCACGATTGCCATGTGGCCCAAAATTCACAGTGGGACAGTAAAAACAGCCCAGGGAGAGGCATGAAGGACCAGAGAGGCAAGGATTTTTTGCACAAGGTATGAAACTTTCTTTTAATTTTTGCATACAGATAATTGCACTTCTGAAAAGTGGTCATTCACCACCATTAAGGAAAGTACATATGGCTGTAAAAGAGAAAGCAAATTTAAACCAAGAATTGCTGACTATTTTAAGATCAACACAGTCTATGGAGAATAGGAGAGTAGGGAAGAGATTAAAATGCTGTGGGAGGCATTGGGAGCGAACAGAACCTTCTAACAGTAGGAGCAGTGATTTTTAAAAGCTATAGCCATAGTGCTCCTCTGAAGAAAATCAGAAAAAGAACCCAGATTCTCTTTTGAGGGGTGAAGTGGATAGGTTCTTCCTAAAGGTAAGAAACAGGGATTTTTGTTACTACTGCCTAATGATCATAAGTAGTAAGGACATTATAATACACTGAATTATGTCTTAACTATTTCTTCCTTACTTCTGAATGCAGTCTCCTGGTAAAGCCAGTATGTCTTTTCTCTCTCTCTCTCTCTCTCTCTCTCTCTCTCCTTCTGAGTCTCTGTCTCGGTCTCCATCTCATCTTGTCTCTGTCTCTCCTTCTCTGTCCTGAAGATGGAACCGTGGGCTACACTCCATCCTCCAAACTCTTTTTAACAAAAAGGACTTCTGTGGGAGCCTGTGTCTAGGTACAATAGTAATTGTTTTCTTTTACTTGTTCCCTTAAATTCCTTCTACCAAAGACCTGGGAAGCTGATTTTCCATTTATGGTAACAATCTAAAAATTTCCTTTTAAAATAAATGTAAGAAAAGAGGATTCTGACATAAAGAAAGAATGCCAAGTGAAGCTCACGTGGCACAGAGCAGTAACAAAAATCTTGATAAGTCTGAGCGACAGGGCCTGGGAACCAGGGGAGATGATTTCAAGCTCCTGTAATCCCAGGATCCTGTAAAGACAGAAGGAAAACAGGACTTTACAGGGGAAGCAGAAACCCATGCTTAATAGGCAGTGCTTATGAGTATTACAAATCCTTGGCCTCACAAAGCACCCATGCCAGTCCAGGGAATAACAGATGAACCACAGATATTATAGCAAACGATAGTGCTCGGGATATGTTTTAACATCTGTTACACACAGTTCCAGATGATTAATGAAAGGACGTTTGAACTATACTCAAGTGAAGGGAGAAGAGCCCACACCTTTTTCTTGCTGCTTAGAGAGATTCTACATCTCCCAGTTCATGTTATATAAAAACACAAGAACCAAAGAGAGGAGGGGAGGAGGGAGGGAGCATTGTAGGAAAATTTCTGCCAGAAAACACACAATAAAACCTAGCTTGTTAGCAACTCGGCTCCAAATTATTTTTTAAAAACAAATCCTAACTGTAATGTAGTTACAGCCTCGGAGGGAAGCTCTAAGCCCTGGGTCAGCGTCCCAGAATCTAAGCTCCGAGAAGAAAGGAAAAAGGAAACCTAACCAGGCATCTGCCAGGAATATGAAAGCAAAATCTCCGAGGCAGGAGAAACCCCCCAAAGGAGGAGAAGACTGCAGCCTGCAGTAATCTGTGAATGATTGCTGGTAAAGGCTGGAGGCTTCAGGCTTGATCTGTGTTTGTTCCCACAGAAAGCCAAGGAGGACGGTGTTAATAAAGAGAGATTTAACTGAGAGCTGTGCTTGGAATAAAGTGGGCTACAAAAAGGTCAAATTTGATCAGTTGGAGCAGATTACAGGGGCTTTAAAAGGTGGCGTGGAGAACTCGAGCGGGGCTGGGAAGTAATATAACGCAAGATTGATTTGGGGGGTGGAGAGAAGCCAGGACGAGCGCTTATCAGTCCTGGAAGGAGGAAGAACCGCCTGGGCTCGGAGCGCTCCAGCCCCAGCCCAGAAGCCACCGCCCGTCCCCCCACTCCTCCGGGCCCTCCGCTCCAGATTCGCCTTCGGCAGCTCCTAGACAATGGTTTCCCTAATCTCTGACTTGGACCCCCTGAGAGACTGGAAAGTTTTAAGGTAGGCCTGCTTTGCTTTCTCTCCCTTGGCTGTGTGAGTTTCTGGCCAAGTTCCTGCCCGCCCCCAGCGCACTTGAGGACAGCCTGGTTGGCGTGTGCTGGAATTCGCCTGCCTGTCGCGGGCATCAGTGACAGGCAGATCTGGGGGGAGGCAGGCTGCGTTTTGACAAGGAAACAACTTCAGGCTGCTGAAGGCAAGCTTGTGAACGTGAAGTCCTCAAGTTTCACTACTGCCCGGCCGGTACCAGTGCTCCTGACTCTGGCTGACTGGCAGCTTGAGTGCTGGAGTTTCACTACCAGGCTTCAGGGGGCATCGAAGGGGTGAGGTGGGAGGTGCAGGCTTTCTGGGACTTCAGCTAGAAAGGCAGACTTTTCACAAAGCTTTCTCAGTGCTCCTCCTTGAAGAGGACTCATGGGTGGAAATTTGTTTCCTTCTCAATGACCTCTCCCTTCTCACCCACTCCCAGGTCAAATTTGGAAAAGCAGGCATGTGTGACAAACTCAGCTGGCCTTAATACCGAGCCGAATTTATGGAATAAATTCATCCTCTGAATGCCCCTAGAAAGGCAAACTCTGACCTCATCATCTCTCAAAGGGCCCAAAACTTCAGAACTCACAAGCTGAAAGTGTCCAAATTCAGACATCATCTCCATTTAAGTCTGAGCTGATGCCTTTGGTAGAATGTGCAATGGATTGGAAGCTTTAAACTAATTCCAAGCGGTATTAAGTGATATTTCCTAATGAAAACATTTGGGGCAATTTTTAAAATACAAAAATGTTAAATGGAGGGATTTTCATTAAACGTAGTTCTACATACTATAATATGTTTTCCCAAATACTTATGACAAATCATTGTTTCATAAGAGAGTCGAGAACCCAAGTAAAGAATACCAATGAGTAGAAGAATGTGTGTATTCCTGGGACCTTTTTTCCTTGACATTTTCCTTGTGTTAATTAGCTAAATCCTTATCTCCCATTCATGATTTCTGCCTTAGTGTTTGTCTAATTTTATTATTTTTTAAGGCAACATTCTAGAACAGGGCAAATACGGGGGGTGGGGACCAGTATTCATCCTAATTATTTTAAAAAATCATTATATCTTATTTCCTAGAACTTTCTGTGTATGCATGTGTCGTGTAATATGTGCTTTCTGTGTATTATGTGTCGTGTAATATGTGCTATTATGTAATCTATTTTTTCTAGTTTCCATGTTTCCGCCTACCTTTCATAACCATAATTTTAATGGCTAAATGAAACATCATTTTGATAATGTGTATCATTTGTTATAATTACCATGTTTGTTGAAAATTTAGATCATTTCCCCTCCATGATTTGTATTAACAACACAATGAACATCTTTGTGTCTATAGCTTTTCATCTTCATTAAAGATTCCTAAGAATTTCTCAATGAAATGGTACAAACATTTTTATGGATCTTTCAGCAACGATTTTAAAATTCATTTGCATGTTTAAACTTCATCTTTGAGACATGATAAAATACTTCGACAAATGTTCTCACGATTCAGTTACTACAATGAGCTTCATTCTCATTTTCTCTAAGTGAATTACTAACCTGTTTCTAAAACTGAAAGATATCTTAAGAGTTCTTTCAAAAATTCTTTTTGGATGATTAACCTACTATTATTGTGTGAGTAGATAAGGCAGGCTCCAGCTCAAAAATTTGTATGAGTTTGGTTACGGTTTTTTAAAATGTAGCCCCCAAGGGTCTTTCTAGATAATGATCTCAAGTCTCAACCTATTTTAAATGCTGGCTTTCCCTTAAATGTGCCCCTGTCATAAGTGAAGTATACTTTATGATTAGAGTAAGTAAAGCTTCACAAACTTGTCGAGACTCTGGAAAGATAAACATTTTTATAGGGACTACTTTGGGTACACTGAGTTCATTCAGTCCACCCTCGTCTTGGCAGACATTAATCCATCAGCTTTTTAACTGGATATAATTCTTCTTGATATAAGAAATTTTATAATTTATGAATCAAATTTTAAATCTCATAGTTGCTTACAATAAAGCATCCTTTGGGCTAATTTTGATTAATTGAACTGTTCACACCTATAGTAAGTCTGTGCCTATAATATATAGGAGAAGCAAAGATATAACACAACCTTATGAATGGATAATCTACAAGGTGTATACTGTAATGCCATCCTGGTTGTCTCTCATGGGTCACATCAATATAGTGAAAACCCAGAGAAATGGGGTGAAAGATCCCAGGGAGTTAAAAAAAAAACACAGTTGTTGCCCTTGTTGAGTAACAAATGAGTAGAATACTTAGAACAAAAAGAGGAAAAAGATCTTTCAATCCACATAATCTGGAATATTTTTAGGTGCTAGATCAGGAATGTGGCCTGAAGTTTTGCCAAACCTGTTGTTCTGAAAAGGGATCAAGAGGCACAATTTAAAAATCTGTTTATGTTACAATTTGTTATCTTCAGATAGGATCTACTTTTGGATCATGAGCCTATACCAAGAAATATATATTTCACTCCGTACTAGGTCCATTTTATCACATATGAGAACAAAATCAAGAATGGGAATAGTGCTATTGGTTGTTTTAATTACCATTAAAACATTACCATTACTGAAGGAACATAAACCTAACAGCCACCAAAAAATACACTAACAATTTTCAACAATAAGACTTCTCTTTTCACTCCTAGGAAAGCACTGACACAATGACTTTACTCAGAAAAGAATCAAGATAAGCTAAATCTGTAAAAAGTGTATATAGTATATAGGAGAAGAAAAAATGACAACACATGAGTAAAAGAATAAAACAAACAAAATAAGCAATGTGTTCAGTACGTGATTTGATGTTCATAGATATTACTTGAGGGAAAAAAGTTGACAGTGAAGTAGATTAAATGGGGCATGGAAAGCAGGCCACCTGGCCTCTCCTTTCACAGCCCTGGCATCATCTTTATGAGAGGGTCTTTAAAAATCCAAAACTGATTGAAGTGTCCCATTTCCAGATGAGAGAATCAGGCACAGGAGATGGAATGACTAAAAGTCACAGGTTCCTTAGAAGGACCAGCCAGCTCCTTCAGCTTCCAACTCCATCCTATCTCCTGAGAGATTCTATTCTCCACCTTCTCTTCTGTTCCTACGCCTTGCCTCATGATTGAGTCACACAGACCTCTTGTCAGCAGAGCCACTTGTCAGAAGCTCAATAGGATATAACTGTGTCTCTAAAGACCACCCAAGTCCTTGTTTTTTGTTTTTGTTTTTCCTGCTGTGGGGAGCTAAAAATCATGTGCTGTTTAGCTCCAGCAGCAAAGCTAAGCATCCTCCCTTGCCTCTCATTTTGCTCTCCTATTTTACATCCAAACTACTGGCAATTCTTAGGGACATCATCCACTGTCTCCTGACTCCCACTGCTAACATTTACACAGAGCTCACTTCCTCCTGATTCATCTTCTACTCTCTCAGTCTAAACATTTCAAAAGCTGTCTATTAGAACGTGATTTTCTTTCTTACACTTTTCTCTTTTATTCTTGGAGGAAAGCCGGTGTCCTCATCCTAACCCCACCTGACCCAACCCTTTACACCTCTCCAGAGATCCCAGCTGCCACTCTTTCTCTTCCTCTCACACACAGCCAAGCTTATTTTGACTTTATGTGCACTAGCTCCTCCCTCCCCCACCTGGAAATCTTCCCTAAGTAGTGGCAGGGCTTCTAGCTGCTTGTCACTGAAGTCTTAACTCAAATGTTATGTATCAGTGAGCCCTTCCCTGGCCTCTCACCTTAAAGTCATTTAGAAGTCACTCCTTAGCTTATCTCCTGATTGGATGAACCACAGAACATTTTTAGTATTCAACTACTTTTGACTTACAAAAACATCCGTGCCAGAATCCTGCTATTTTTGCATTTATTTGTTGATTATCTCTTTCTCCCATTAGAATGTATGGTTTGTGGTTTATACCTAGTAGCTAAAATATTTATAGGCACATGGCAGACATTGAATAAATGAATGAAGAATGGATGAATAGATGACATGTTTGTCTCCTTCATCTATCCATCCACTAGAACAAAACATCCACAGAACAAAATACATTTTGTTCACCTTCTAACTCTAGTATTTACCACAGTGATTCTGTACTATTTGTATTCAATGAACTGATTAATGAATTAATGATTCCTAACTTCCACTGTCCTGTTCTGTCCTACATTTGTTATTTCTGTGCCAATCAGCAAAGCATCTGATTTAATAACATGGAAAATGTTTAAATTCTCATTGAGAATTTAATATGCATCTATTATTCAAGTGAAATTCATTCTTTCTAGACAAGAGAATGATCTAGAGCAAAGGTTAGCAAATCTCTTCTATAAAAGGCCAGATACAAATACTGTACTTTGAGTTTTGCTGGCCATACAATTTCTGTTGCCACTACTCAACTTTGTCATTACACCATGAAAACACCTATGGGAAAAAATGTAAACAATTTAGCTTGGCTATCAGCCAATAAAATTTTACTTACAAAAACAGGCAGTAGTCTGAATGGATCATAGTCTGTCTGTCTCTCTCTCTCTCTTTCCCTCTTTCCTCAGTTATCAAAATTAATGATGTGACTAACAAGAAAACAGAAGTGACTCCAACAGGGAGTTGGAGGGATGTTTTCAAGTCATCTAAGACAAAAAGGAATATAATAAATTTGACTCATTATTTTAAAAAAAATTAAATGTGCCTGGGTAACATTTCAAAGTCAAAGAATCTTGAAGTCATGACCACTTGATCTCACAAAGATGATTATAATCTGAAGAAGGCTTACAGTTTACCAAAACCCTTAAATGTTTGGATGAACCTCAAAGCCATAACAAAACATACTTTTACCTGTTCTATTGTTGAATGTATAAAAATTTCTCATTAATGAGAACAACATACATGCTGATGGAAAAAAAAAATAGATCAGACCCTAACATGTTTTAATTCATTGCTTGGCTTTGGTTATTTTTCATCGGTTTCTCTAACTCACTTAGTATACA